TATAAAATAGGTATTACATAGTATTCAACATATAGAATGCTTTTATTTTAGCTTAGAAAGCGGGGGTATGGCCTAATAAAATTTTGAGTAATAGGTCTTTAAAAATTTAAGCATACAAATATGTATGCTATACGGTTTAAGGGATAATACTTTATGTCTCGTGAACGTGGTTTCTTATTAAGAACTCCTGAAAACAGCATTCTAAAAGAGCCTACCTTTGCAATTTACTATAAAAAATGAGCCCTCAAATTTCATAAATTTCATAGTAAAAAATTTACCCCTGTGATCTGCGTGACAAATCGGGTGCCTGGTATAGTACTGTACGTTACTGTACGCGGCACATCTCTAGGCACAACATATAGATAAAATTATATTTCTAGAATTTCAGACTACCGTATTTGCGCGAAATAACGCCCCATGGGTGTTATTTAGGGACACAGTTTGAAGAGAGCTCATTTAATTTATCAGAATGTGAATCATAATTTTTTGTTATTCAAAGTCTTCTGTTAAATTAATTATTCTGTGTCCCGAAATCACGCTCATGAGCAAATATAGAGCCAGTTTTGTAATAACTTTTAACAAATTTTTGTTTTTAATTTTATTAAAATTATTGCAAAACCAGCCTTATTACAGTATAGAACTATAAGGTACGAACTTATTATTCTCTGTTCCCGGTAATCATATTTTTGCAACCTTCAGATTTGGAGGTCGGAGATAATCATGTGACTATTAGCCAATCAAATTATATAATTTTGATGATCGCCGGCGAAACAAAAATAAAAAACCTAAAAAATACAAAAAACGGCAGTCAAAACTTGCCTTGGGTAGGTTAAGCAAAAATGTCGGAAAGGCAATTTTACATATATATAACTACCCCAACCTCTAGCCTAACCCTAAAGTTAATTCAATAAATACTAATTATATAATTTATTTCCGCTGTAGACGTCCCCCAGCTTTTGGTAATATTTGTGATTTATTCCACCACAAGAACAATTTAATAATTTTCGTGGCATTATCAAGCAGTTTGTACACTTGATACCGAAGATTCTAACTTGATCCAATGAATAATGAAGTATAAAAAAAGATCAAATCTTAATTTTGTTTCTTGATAATCAAAACATTCATTTTGCCAATCATTGCCCTTTTTTTTTGAGGAATATTTGTTATAACATAAACACTACAAATTCATTATGCAAATTGTTTCTGAGTTCATTATTGTGTGTTGAATTTCTCTATTTATACATATATAACTTTAAAGCGATTAACTCATAAATTACATTCGATATTTATTCCAAAGTCTAAATCCATTGTTTCCATATCAATCAAGGTCCGTTCCATAGTTTCTAGATCATTTCTTCCTTCCTTCAATTTGTTCATCATCTGTTGAGATTCCGATGCAATTAATGTGTAATTGTTCCTATATGTGTTTAGTAATTCACGTCTGAAAAGTTATCATTTGACAGAGTATTTTTAATATGTGAAAGTTGCAAGTATCATATAACAAAATTTGAAATTATCGTACTTGCGTTCAAACTGTTTCTCCAAGCTTTGACTCAAATTTGTCTCGCTTTGAATTATAGCATTTTCAGAAGCTTGAAATAGTGTAGAGTCTTGTTTTTGAAATTGTTTAAATATTGCCTATTTGATGTTATCAATTGTAAATATCAATCATATTCTCTATCTTCTGCGATAGATATATATACCTCTCCAACGAGTTGCAATAAACTTCTGATTTCCTCATCCAATTGTTCATCTGCAAATTTTTGTTGCCCATTATCGTGTTCTTGTATTGCTTCGTCATTATCATTAATAGTGGGTGAACTATCTCGTGAATTAATAATACATAAATCTACAATAATAAATAAATTTCAAAATGAGTTAGATGTGTTAAATTTTTCCTTTGCAATTGATATTTATAAAACACTTAAATACCATCCTGCATAGAAATTTCTTCGTCATCTTTATCTTCATCTGCGCCCAAATAATTTGTAAATGCTTGTAACCGTTTTATAAAAGCAACTATAGTAAAATCTAATTGTAAAATATTACAACTAAAGAAAAGGCTTAATTCCTTTAAAAAAAAAAAATTACCATGCCTATTTTCGCCCTTGTCGCCGGTTTTCTTTTCTAAAATTAAATGAGAATAAATTTTTTTCATAAATATAATCCACATATTATACTTACGATATTTTGACTTTGAACGTTGTACATCGGTCACATCTATACATTCAATATCACTTGAGGAATCATAGTTATTTTTTTGCTTTGGATTCCAAAATTCTTCTTCACTCATGATCTGGCTTTCGTCATCATCGACCTAAATTTTCAAAATTCTTAAGCAATCAATCGTGATAAATAATAAAACGGTTTTAATCCTTTCATTCTTATACCACAACTAATTTCTTTCCTCCTTTTTTTGTTATAACTCGATAATTAGAGTTGCTTTTGAGTTGATCGTCACTTCGATATTGCTCCGGATATTCTGGTCCGTCATCATTTAAATCCAGAGTTTTTCGTTTGCTCCCTCCGTGACTTACTTCACGGTTTTCCCCGGTATCATTTTTGTTTTTGCAAGCAACGTTATTAAATAAATTTTTTCTTGTTGCATTTGCTTTAGCTAAAGAGTTGAGATTTTCGTTTGCACGTGATAAGCCAAACAGTTTGTCGTTTTTTACTGAAGAGCCGTTATTATTTTTCGCAACGTTTGATTGGTATCGTGCGTTTTCAAGATCCGCACCATTTGATACCTTTGTGTCATTTCGAGTTTCTGCTTGTCTTCTTTTTGGACTATCTTTGTCATATTTAAATTGATCTGTTCGCTGTTGCATACTATTTACATTAACAGTTGTTGAAACATTCTCATTACTTCTTATGGCATTTGAACTCGAACATTCATTGTTTAATATTGTCTTATTCACAATAATTTCGTTGTCTTTTTCCACAAGATCAGCATTATTACTAATCTTGCTTTTTTGCTTTGAAGCAGACAAATTCAATGGCTTTGTTCGCTGTTTTGGAGGTGGAAAAGCATATCGATGATTGACATTATAATTATTCTCTAATATTTGCGTTATTGACTTGCGATCCATAGAACTTATGTTATTACATGGTGAATTTTCATTTGACGAAGACGATAAAGGTGGTGGTGTAACATTTTTTGGCAATTGGCTGCGGCTTTTCGCAAGAATATTATTGAATGTACTTGTATTATTTTGGGATTCATCAACGTTCACTAGAGTGACTTCATCAAAATCAGTATCTTTTAATATGTTAATATGTCTATCAATTCGATCAGACGTAGGTGTCTTAGAGGCTTCTAAAGATTTCGACAAAGTATCAAGAGCGGCGGCCGTATTGAACGAAGAAGAATGTGGCTGTAAAATTCCTATGGAAACAGAAACTTTTGGTTGCTGTGTCCTTGGTTTCTAGATTATTTAAATTATAAAACATAAATATAATTGTTATTTATTAAATTATCAAATATCTTTGAAACCCCTTTTTTTAAACTCACAATTTTTTGATTAGTAAATATTTTCTCAATACAGTCTTTTATCCTGCCCTCAACAGGGTCGAATGTCATAGTAAGAACATGTTCATTAACTGAAAGATTCTGACCATCAATCTTCAACGGTTCGGAAAGGTATAGCTTCAAATTTTGGTCTATAATTGAAAAAATGTAATCAGTTATTTATTATTAATTTTTTATTTATTATTTATTTATCATATTTACTTACCAAAGTCGCTCTGAATATCCCATGATGATATTTTAGAATATTTGATATCTATTACATCAACATCTGCAGATTCATCCTCCTGAAAATTTTGCGCTGGCTCAGTCTTAAAAAGAAATAGTATACACAAGAAGCATTTATTAAAAATATACATTAGCCTCCGCGGATGCTGTCGTGGATATTGTAACAGATATTGTCCATTTATTAAAATCCACAAAGAAGTAACGTTGACCTTCAGGGCTGTATAATTCACATTGATTATACTTCATGCGAGAAACTTTAAACGTTTTTGGTCTATCAGCAATGATATTTGTGAGAATAGTATATAAAAGATTTGCTGCTATGTAGGTAATATGTATAAAGAATATACACACGTTTTTGATATCCCGTCATTTTTTGCATTGACGTCGTTCAAGAAATACCTCGAGTCCTATAATAATAATCAGTCAAGCAATATGAATCGAGATTAAAATGAAAACTAGTTTATTAACAATCCTAATCCAATCATAAAAAAGTCTAAAGAAATGCATCAAAAAATTCTATCACGACGTGTAATTTCAAATTAAAATAGAACAAAATTTCATTTAACTATATACCTCGAAAAATTCGTTGGCTGTAATACTAAGAAATTTTGTTACAACTGCTTGATTCATAAATGCCTTATTTGCAAAAATTTCTCGATCTTTTTGCACTCTTGGACATAGCCTGAAAAGTATCTCGAGATGGCGAAGTTGAAGTTCATAATCTAAATGAAACGATATAACAGAATTTTTACACATTAAGTTTCTCACACATGATTAATTAAATTAAAGTAAGCACATACCTAACGCAGATATCATAGAGGAAGCAAGATCAGAACTACATTGGAACAAAGAGTCAAGTTTATGATAAAAAGTTGCAGCATCAATGTACAAAGGCAAATTTATTAATCTTATAGAGGATACATATTAAAAAACTGTTCTTGGCTTAACAGCTTTTTGTTTTCTTTGCATCCTGTTAAAAGGGCATTGATAACGTTTGCTGCCTTGAAAGATTTTCATATAAGAATTCTATCCAAAAACAACGCGCATCAATACAAATTGTCAATTTTCATACCATTCTCCTGATATCGACTGGGAAGGTTGATTTTAGCAACGCTTGTGAGAGAATTTTGAGACAAAGTTTCCCTAATGTCTCTCGGTCTTGTAAAATTGATATAGATTTATTTATGTTTTAACAGAAATAATTTCGTATACATTTATAGAATAGAATACATTACCTGCACTATCTTGCTGAATAAATTTCTTTAAAGAGAAGATTATTTTATTATATTTTTATTATTATATAAAATAATGTTGATAATTTTTCATACGTACCTCAATCAGAGAAAGGGTTTCAAGTACAATTTTCGCCCAATCGTCTTCTTGACCATTTTCAAGCAAACCGCTATTAATAACTATTAAAGCGATGTGGCACAATATGTCTCTTGATTTCTTTGCAACATCTTTATTATCTTTATATTCATGAAGCAAATATCCCAAGCCATCAATAGCTTGCTGATAAGTAGCCGTATTGGTATCATAAAAGAGATTTGGTCTCGAGAGCTTGTAGTGCAGATAGTTGGACGAATGTAAAAATATTTTGGTTTAAAGTAATGACATGAAATAAATGTTTTACCTCATCTTCTAATATTTTTAATAACTTTTGAAGTGTCTTTTGTAATCTGCAAAATTTACAAAATTTTTTACAAGTAAAAAAAAAAATCAATGAGTTGTGACAATATATGTTTTATTTTTAAGGTAATTATTACGGACTCTCTAGAAGCAATAGAGCTCCCTTTCTTTGATGGTCTTCCACGTTTTTTCTTCTCAGATCCTACTGATTTTGTGCTAAGAACTTTATTGAGATCGTCGAACGCTTCTTTCAGATTATACTTTGACTTGGACATTTTCGACGTTTTTTGAGAGAAATCCAAATGCTCGGTTTATTAAATATTAATATCGTAAAAGTCTATAAACAAATAAAATAAACTATCGCACAATTATCTAGATTTCCAAATCAGTAGTTTATTAATTACGTAACTTATTACGTATCAGTATAATTATTATTAAACATTCTATTACGTAAACTGATTTTTTATCAAGAATATGAAAGTCAACAAATATTATTTACTATTTAAAACTAACAGGTGGATACATACAGTAAATATAGGAAATATATGCAAGACCTGTGGTCATCAATCAAAAGCTGGATAAGCTGGATAGATCCAAGATATTCTATTTGTCGAAACTGGACATGCGAACATGCCAATATCATTTTATTTACAATTTTCTAAATATATAATATAAAAATATAAACATGCTTGGACATCCTTGGACTAATGATTTGAACCGAGAAAAATTTTCTTAATCGGTTAACCGAACCGAATTATTTTCATTCAACCGGATGCCAACCGGTTAAGATTAATACCCTACTGCCTTCGGAAATTCTCGGAGATTTTTGTTCGTTTATTTATTTTTCGGAACTTTTCGGAACATTTACTCTCTCCTTATTTCGAGGTAGGAACGTCCCGAGTGCCCCGATTTTGTAGATCGTTACACAATTGATTAAAGATCTTTTTTTATACGTTT